ACCCGCACCTTCTTCCGTCTCCAGCTCCCGGTGTAGAGTGACTCTCCGCATGATGCGGTGAGCGTGGACAGCCCCGCAGATACCTTCAGAGTAGTAGCCGAGTTTTGCACTACCTAAGTCGTTCGTCGGCCGGCAGCCCGTACATGGGCTGACTGACCAGGGTGGTGATGGCATGGGATGCATATGGGCAGACTGACCAGGGTGGTGATGGCATGGGATGCATATGGGCAGACTGACCAGGGTGGTGATGCCATGGGATGCATATGGGCAGACTGACCAGGGTGGTGATGGCATGGGATGCATATGGGCAGACTGACCAGGGTGGTGATGGCATGGGATGCATATGGGCAGACTGACCAGGGTGGTGATGGCATGGGATGCATATGGGCAGACTGACCATGGTGGTGATGGCATGGGATGCATATGGGCAGACTGACCAGGGTGGTGATGGCATGGGATGAATATGGGCAGACTGACCAGGGTGGTGATGGCATGGGATGCATATGGGCAGACTGACCAGGGTGGTGATGGCATGGGATGCATATGGGCAGACTGACCCGGGTGGTGATGGCATGGGATGCATATGGGCAGACTGACCCAGGTGGTGATGGCATGGGATGCATATGGGCAGACTGACCAGGGTGGTGATGGCATGGGATGCATATGGGCAGACTGACCAGGGTGGTGATGGCATGGGATGCATATGGGCAGACTGACCAGGGTGGTGATGGCATGGGATGCATATGGGCAGACTGACCAGGGTGGTTATGGCATGGGATGCATATGGGCAGACTGACCAGGGTGGTGATGGCATGGGATGCATATGGGCAGACTGACCATGGTGGTGATGGCATGGGATGCATATGGGCAGACTGACCATGGTGGTGATGGCATGGGATGCATATGGGCAGACTGACCAGGGTGGTGATGACATGGGATGCATATGGGCAGACTGACCATGGTGGTGATGGCATGGGATGCATATGGGCAGACTGACCAGGGTGGTGATGGCATGGGATGCATATGGGCAGACTGACCAGGGTGGTGATGGCATGGGATGCATATGGGCAGACTGACCAGGGTGGTGATGGCATGGGATGCATATGGGCAGACTGACCAGGGTTGTGATGATGAATCAGGCTGACCAGTGAAACCAATCAATGAAATCAGTGACCGGAATGAGTCAGTAACTGAAACAGGTCAAAGGAATCGGTGAATGGAACGAGCGAGTAGAACAAGTCATTGAAATTAGTGAGTAAAATGAGCTACAGAAAAGTCCCTGGGAACAAGAACGAGTCACAGAAACAGATAAGAGGAATCAGTGACTGGATGAATTTATTTACACAAGCCATTGAAATTGGTGACTGGAATGAGTCTTTGAAACACCTGACTGGAGCCAGCGACTATAAATAACTGTAACATGTCATATCAGTGACAGGAACGAGGGAATTTAACAATACACTGGAATCGGCTACTGGATCAGCTACATATCGGATCACGGAGCAGGGAAAGAGGGTTGACGGGTTGGACAAGGATAGGAGAAAGGTGGGCCACAGGGGTCGGAGAGATGGATTAGAAAGTACAGGCAACGATAAGAGCTCAGAGGGGGAACAATAAGCAGCTGAAAGTGAAAATTGGAAACAGAAACAATGCATGTTCCATTGTATCCGAGCTAGAGAAATCTGGTCAAAACAAAACATCCATTTTCATTCATATATACAGATGCAGTGCAAGACAGTATCATACATATATAACTAACCTATGTACAACGCCCAATGAGGCATCCAGCATAATATAACACATACCCCAGGTATTGCTATTGAACCTATGCGAACACCGCCCTAAGGCTAGCCATCAACCTCCAGCAGAGGTCCATCAGCCAGCTTCGCCTTCCCTCCTTCCCCCACAGATCATGCGGCAACAGCAGCAACAGGCACAACGATTTTCGCCTTGGTCAATCTGGAAATCTCAAACATCACCTTCATTTGTTGCAGCTTTGACAACCCCTTCTCTGCCAAGGAGCTTCCAGTTTCAGTAACTCTTGCTGATCTGGTGCTGCTCGTAGCACTGGCCTCAGGGACCTTCACGGACGTCCTTGAGCAAGCAAGCCTTGGGATCTTCAATGGCATGCTTGAAATTGCAGACAGCGAAGCCAAATTCAATGGCCGTTGCTTCTTCTCCTGCTGTGTCGCCTGTTGTTGCTTCTCAAAGTGCACGGTTGCTATGCTGTCTCTCACTCAACCTGCATTATCCACCCCCTTTGCTGCACTCATATCTGACACCACAAATCTGCTTGGAGTGAAGAATTGAGATGGAGAAAGTGGGTTTAGTGACTCTAAAACAAGTCAATGACATCCAATGACTGGAATCAGCTAGAATGTAAAACGAGTCATTGGAATCAGCGACTGAAATGAGTCATCGAAACAAGGCAATGACATCCAATGACTGGAATCACCTAGCATGAAATACAACTCATGGAATCAGTGCCTGGAACGAGTCGCTGAAAGAATTAACGGCACTCTATGACTGAACATGTCACCTAATCAAGTCACTGGATTCACTTATTGGTGCGAGCAATAAGTACATGAAAATAGTGACTGACCCAAAGGAGACACTGAAATAGGTTACTTCGGTCAGTAACTGGAACGAGTCAGTAGATTCAGTTCAGTCACTGAAATAAGCCACCATAGTCAGTGACGTGACAAACCACTGGATGGAAAAAGTCACTGAAACCAGTGACTGGAATCTTTCACTGAAACAAGGCATTGGAATCAGTGAGTCGTGGTTGGAATGAGTCACTGAAACAACTGACCAAATCCATTACTGAAATGTGCCATTGCAACTACTCATGATATTCGGTGACTGGAACGAGTCACTGAAAACAGGTTGCTGTCAGTCGGTGAAATTAATCAAGGAAATTAGTTCACTGGAACTGAATCACTGGCACAAAGTTTGGCGCTGAAATTAGTCACCGAAACAAGTCAATGAAATCAGGTAAATAGATCAAGTTACTAAAACGAGTCTTTGGAATTTGTGACTAAGTGGAACGAGTCACTGAAGCAAGCCACTGTATTTAGTAACTGAAACACTGGTTTGGAATCAGTGACCTGGGCTAAGTCAACAACGAAAGTTACTGGAATCAGTTACTGCACTCATTGACTGATTGCGTCATTTTGACAAATCACTGGAGTCAGATTTGGAATGAGTAATTGAACTGGGTATTTAGACTGGAATTAGAGACTGACTGAACTCTGTCATTAATCAAGTCATTGGAATATTTACCAGAATGAGTTGATGTCACTGTCCGACAAAGGACCATTGCAATAACCATTGCAATCATCAGGCCCAAAGGAGGGAGGAGCAGGAAGACAGAAAAAGTTGGAAGAGACATGAAAGGCGATTGGCAGTATAACTAGGGTGTAGTGGGGAAAGATGGGAAAAATACAAATGATGGGAAATGGAGGGGGGAACCCAGTGGACACACCAGAAAGAAGAGTGCTGTATATGTTTTCCACATGCACATATTTCTGCAAGATCGTGACTTATTGAGCATCCTTCACCACCCTTCAGGACAATAACGTGCAATAACATATTGTACAGGAGAATTATGTACAAGCTATAACTACCAATTTGGTATACTATGAAACACCTAATATACTATGCTACTGTTGTCTCTGTGCCAGCACCGCCTGAAGGCTAGCCATCACAGAAACAACGTGCTGGCAACAGAAAGTCATCAGCCAGCTTCGCCTTTCCTCCCTTTTGTGTAGCTCATGCGGCAACAGCAGCAACAGGCGTAGATATTTTCGTTTTGGTCAATCTGGAAAGCTCAAACATCACCTTCATTTGTTGCAACTTTGACAACCCCTTCTCTGCCAAAGAGCTTCCAGTTTCAGTAACTCTTGCTGATCTGGTACTGCTTGTAGCACTCGCCTCAGGGACCTCCACGGACGTTCTTGAGCAAGCAAGCCTTGGGATCTTCGAAGGCATGCTTGAAATTGCAGCCAGTGAAACCGATTTCAGTGACCGTTGCTTTGTCTTCTGCTCTGTCGCCTGTTTTTGCATTGGTGGCAGATCACAGGCGGCTTGAGCAGCAGCTTTCACCACAGCATTCACAGCAGCTGGACGCAGCGGGGAGAAGCCAGGAGGCCTACGGAAGGACCTCTGCTGGACTCCCTTCTGTTCCTCGTCGAATCTACCGATTCTGTAAGCAGCGAAGAACGGGCTGAAGCCTTTTTTGGTCGTCCGGAGCCTCCTGGTGTCGCTGTTCGGCCGTCTGTCCCTGCTGCTGAAATCGCTGTTGCTTGTAGCGCCAGCAGCCGTGCTGGAAGCCAGCAGAGACAGACTTGCCATCGAGATCGCTTTTTAGGAAGCGGGAGGACGACGACTCAGAAGTCGGTTTAACAGAGCGCTTCCGATAAGGTTTAGGTTCGGAGTAAGAACGGGTGGGTTCGTCTCAAAAAATTTGGGCCTTGGATGTTAGTTTGAGCTAACCCTAATGTCGCCCCGAGGTAACCTCTCTGGAGGTTAGCTCGAGGTGCTACTCGGGCTATGGTCAAAGTTCACATCTTCCCCCCGTTGTGACCCTCAGCTTACGCGCAGGTCGGTGTTCGAGGTGACTCTGTTACCTCTTGCTCGGGAAATCGAACCGAAAGGTTCGGTGCCCGATTGGCTGTCTGTTTGTAGCGAAATCGTGTATTGTTACATCGTTGGTAACCAAGAATTGAAATAATTTTTGATAAGGTATATTCACAAATTCTACCCCCGATTAAGTAACCATTTTGTATTAAGATAAAGCTTGTGTGCACTGTAGATCTCACTGCTTAGATTGAAGTTATAATTATGTTTCCTACTATTTGCAATGTTTATATTAATGCTGCTTTTGTCAAACTGAAAAAGGACCTTGCTTTGCTCATTGCCCATATGCAGGTTGTATAGCTTCGCCTGTCGTGTTGTATACATGGAGCGTCATCCAGGAAAATACAAGGCAATTTATTCATATGCAGGTGGGAATTGACAACATCCATGCACGCGTACTCATATATCCTAGCCTGCCTACACCATTTGAGTACTTCTGCCAAAGCAATCACACATCCCAATCGTTGCAGCACACACGCAGGTTGAGCACGGCATATTATTCTATCAAGCATCCCTAATCAGCTTCCGTGTGGACAAGTGACACCAGCGGTGTCATTCCACCCTGCTGTCTTATTGGCTTCCTAAGGTGCCGTCATCCGCACCTGCTATGACCGTGCTGCCTAATTCTCATAAGGAGCTGGTACTTCTTTCCAATGGGGGCTGCTTAGGCTGCTGCAAGCGCCGCTGAAACTTCTGCCCCGGCTGCCGGTCCGGCTGTTGCTGCGTCTCCCGCTGCTGCTGCTGCCGCTGCTGCCACTGCTGCTGCTGCTGCTGCTGCTGCTGCTGCTGCTGCTGCTGCTGCTGCTGCTGCTGCTGCTGCTGCTGCCGCTGCTGCTGCTGCTGCTGCCGCCGCTGCTGCTGCTGTTGCTGCCGCTGGCCAGCCAAGTCTTGCGGCTGGCTCTGCTGGCACTACTGCTGCTGACTGTACGGATGTGTCCGCTCAACCCGATTCAGTTACTCCCGTCTGCTGAATTATCGCCGCCCAAAAAGCTGCCAGCCGCTCAGGCAACCCCAACCCCTGCTGCTGCTGCCCCAGACCCTGCCCTTGCGCTTGCCTCTGCCCCAGATGCTACTGCCCCAGACCCTGCCCTTGCGCGTGCCTCTGCCCAAGCTGCTGCTGCCCCAGACCCTGCCCTTGCGCTTGCCTCTGCCCCAGATGCTACTGCCCCAGACCCTGCCCTTGCGCGTGCCTCTGCCCAAGCTGCTGCTGCCCCAGACCCTGCCCTTGCGCTTGCCTCTGCCCCAGATGCTACTGCCCCAGACCCTGCCCTTGCGCGTGCCTCTGCCCAAGCTGCTGCTGCCCCAGACCCTGCCCTTGCGCTTGCCTCTGCCCCAGATGCTACTGCCCCAGACCCTGCCCTTGCGCGTGCCTCTGCCCCAGCTGCTGCTGCCCCAGACCCTGCCCTTGCGCTTGCCTCTGCCCCTGCTGCTACTGCCCCAGACCCTGCCCTTGCCCTTGCCTCTGCCCCAGCCGCTGCTGCCCCAGGCCCAGCCCTTGCCCCTGCCCCTGCCCCTGCTCCTGCCGATGTTGCTCCGCCTGTTGTTGCTGCTGCTGCTGCTCCTGCATTCGTTGTCTTTCCAGCCCGATCCTCCCGCCTCCTGCTGCCTGCTGCCCCCCTGCCCGGTTGCCACCCCCTCTGTCGCCTGCGCCGGTGCTGCTGCCAATGCCTCAACGTCTATCTGCCCTTCCAGCCCTGCAGCCACTTCTGCAGCAGCTGCTGCCGCCGCCGCGTTAAATCACGTGATACGGGGAGCCAGGTCTATCCCGTCGTCAGATATGACGACGAAGGCCCGGTGCTTGAAAGCCCAGGCCTTCTGTGTGGTCTTCCACCAGGGGCCGTGCTCCTGATTCCTCTCAAGAATGGCGTGCCGCGCCCACGCCTTCAGGCGTGAGTGATACCACTGCACCGTCCTCCCGTTCTGGGGGCGGCTTTTCTTGAGTGCCGCCTTCTTCAGAAGTGGCGTTTCGACCTGCTTGGACGAATGAAATTGTCACGGGGTGTTAGTACGTATAGCTGCCTGCGTGCTTAAGTTATGCTACTTAAGGAAGGGGAATCTGTACTTGCTTACCCCGAAGAGCCAAAAGGCTACTTGGTATAGCTTCAAGACCAGTGGGGGTGCCGCTCCATTCTTGAAGGTCGCGTAGATGCCGAGATCAAAGTATTCCTTCGAGAAAGGAATCTCCGGCGTGTCTTCGTGGCAATGCCACGGCATCAGGTCGTGGGTAGTGGCACCTGTGAAAGCACGAGCAACAGGCGGAGTCGAGGAATGAGAGTGCCATGTGAGTGGGGGAATGCAAGTGCGGGTTTAGTAAGCACGGAGAGTCGTGTCGATTTGGGGAGTGTTTAGTGTGGATGATGGTGGTCATGGCTGGTGTAGTGGTGTAGTGGTGGCGGGTGTGAATACAATGTGGACTTGAGCATTTGCAGCATGTGCGCTCCAACTCCCGAGAGACACGTGGAGCAGCACCAATGGACACTTATGTGCAACTTACTCGAGGCATACTTCCGTGGGAATTGCTCGTCTGTGATGGGCTCAACCACCGTTGGGTCGGGCGTCGCCGGTGGAACCACGCGCGAGGTCACTGGCTTTGTATATGGCAGTCCGTTGCGCACTCGAAACTGCGCTCGCGCGTCGGCCCAAATGTCGGACCGCAGCTTCTGCATGTGAGTGTTGAAGCACTTGCTGCGCGCTCGGTCCCGCTCGAACACAAGATGGACCCGCGACAGATCTTCCTTGCTCGTGAACTCCATGGCGTGTGCCATGGAGCGAACAACGAGGCCTTCGTCAGGCCAATACGACATCTCCGCATCCGGTACTTCGTGCAGGAGAAACTGCTGTGCCTTGTCTACCTTATCCTGCGGCCGTGTTCACGGGTTGAGAGGTGAGTATAGCACATGGGGGGGGAGGTGTTAATGACACGGGTACCCGCCGCTCTTCGCGAGTGTCCGGCGGTTACGAGCTAACGGGCCGATCACATGCCTTGACGGTCTACAAATGGATACGGTCGTGTTTATATTCGTACCTCGAGTCCAAACTTCACTTTCGGCAGAGCACGGTCCGCATCGATCAGCGTTCCGACCCACCAATGCATGCCTTCGCTCATGGGAAGATGCTCGGCGTAGCGCCCTGGGAATTCCTGCTGCATCGCCTCGTGCACGAAAGTCGAAAACTGCATGGGAGGATAAACAAGACTCGGGTGGGGGTTGGAATGGGTCTCCTCTCTGCGCCCGGTTCGCGCAGCGGCGTCTCTTTGCTCGGAATGCTTTGCTCGTTTAGTGGGTGCCTCGTCGTTCGGCGCACGTTCCTCCGTCTGGGCCGTTCCGGACTGGTTATTGCCGTTCATCTGCAGAATCTGCAGGTCTTGTGCCTGAATCCGTGCGCGGAGAGAGTCGACGAACTCCTGGGTGTACCGTGCACGCGACTGGCTGGCTCGACTTGGCGGTACAACGGGTCCTCTCCCTCCGGAACGGGCGCTCGCCGGTAACCCGTCGCGGTCGACCGAGGGTGCTCGCGGGGCAGCGTCAGTTACCGCAGAGACGGGTCGTTGATGGCGCGGCGACTCTGTAGGTCGGGGTGTGGAATTATGCCATGAATAAATGTTTAGATGCTTGGATGTGCGGTTTGCTGGCGCATCATATCCCGCAACACGAGCCACAAAATCCCCTTTCATCTGCGTTATGCTCACTCACCTTCGTACTCTTCGTCCATGGGGTTGTAGTCTCCATCTTGTCCACCCGCATCGTCCTCGTGTTCAATCTCGGCGGCCCAAGTTGCGTATCCGGTGTCGTTGGTGTCCGCCTCACGGTTTTGAGTAACAGGCCGCGCAGTATGCACTCGATCTCCTGTCGTGCAAAATCCTTCCTCCTTGAGTTAGGCTTGTAGTAAACGAATGCTGGATCAAACGACTGACGCGATGTGACGGGGCGAGATGAAGTGCGAACGGCTGGCGGGCAAGGAGATCTCTGCCGATACATTGTGCTAACTTCGAGCAAACCTTGGGTTGGACTGTCCTCACTGACCTCCTGTCTTTGGTTAAATACAGCATATGACTTCGCTCTAGCCTTTGCTCGCAGCGCGGACGTACGAGCCTAGCGTGTATTTCAAGAAGTGCAGATGCTAGGAACTAGACACTCTGCTTCTCGAGATCCAAGTCATCTTCGTCTCGCACCGACAGAATGATTGCGCGCGGTACTTTGATTTTGCACGCTACTGGCCGTCGCATATGCAGGACTCTCTCCATGTACATGAGAATAGGAACTTGGATGCTGCTTCGTAGCAAGGTTTCGTAGATGGCGAGTGTGTCTAAGGGGTCACATATCCTCGACTGCTGTTTCCTTGTGTTTCTTACGTGACTCTATGCCTCGGCTGCCGATCTCTGGCGTTACCCATACAGCGAAATCTCCATGTGGGTCTCTGGGCATCTATGATATGCGCTGAACCTGAGCTTCGCTAACCACGGGGGGAGTGTTGCAGTACAGAAACTGGGTGTATTTTTGTCGCGCATCACTGTCCGCATGCGGTGAAATGATTTGAATTTTGCGGACGGTGAGCGCTGTGCGTGGCGCATTCTAGAGGCTAGGCCGTTAACCTTTGCTTTTCTTTTTTTCTACCTGGGAAAGATACGGCGAGTTTTGCTCTTGTTTTCCAGTCTCAGAACTTTCCGCGCTGGAGAGACACTTGTTTCGTGTGAGTAAACCTCTCTGCTTTTTCCGCTTATCCAACGCGGGATGTCTCTTAAATACACTTGCGGGCGATCTGGTTTTGCGCGTGTTATCTCATTTGCTCGGGTTACTTCATAAATGTTTTTTCTGCTCAGAACCCTTCACTGTTGTTCTCTACTCTCCAGGTCAAGAGTTCTAGAGAACTCTAGAATCTACATAGACGCGTGCATTGCCCTGTTTTCAATCACATGCCGCTTCTCCTATCAGCTTGTGGTGAGCTTGCCTGCCAGGTGTACATGGGATCGTATCAAGGGACCCCGTTATGCTGTGTTTGGCCATTCGACGTGCTGACACGTCTTGGCCCAGACAACCGCGGAATTCCGGATAGTCGTCGCATCAGATCTTTTAGTTGATGCCTCGATATTGTAACAAGTCTCTCAGAAGTTATTCCATCCCACTACCAGATAAATACAAGGGTAAAGGGAAAACAGCAAATCTCTCATTAATAGTAAACTTATGCGCTCTTACCGAACATCTGCGGCACAAGACAATGGATAATTTCGTCTCCAGAGTCCCCAATTGGGTGACGCCAGGGGTATACTAGGAGGTTACACCCTTCAACGTAGCGCCAACTCCTAGTACTCAGTCCTGGACGCTCCCACCAAGCACGCATACCTAGTGCATGAGACAATACCCCCACCGGCATGCCGTCTTTTCCACCAACATGCATGTAGTTAGGTGTCTCGTTGCCCCTTCGCCCTGGCAAGCGTGCATGCTGGAACACGACCCGCGCATCTCTTTCGCCTTCGCGGTCATACATCCCTCGTTCCACCTGGTGACAAAGCTCGACAGTAGGTTCTTTAAACATGAATATCCAATAGGTAAACTACCGAATGCTAGAAGTGAACGTGGAAAACTTACCACCCATCATTCGCTCATGGCGAAGTCCATGAGATATGTCCTGTAGTGGTACGATGGTTGCATGTTGGCACTTAGCGTCGACTCCCCCGTCGCATCGTAGTTGACGTTGCGAAAATCTGCTGCCAGGTCCCTGAATGCTGAGATGTAACGGCGGCGCAACAAGAAGTCTTGTTCGTCATTGTACAGCGTGATAATGGATAGTTTCTCGACCTCGGTGAGCGAGGTCACGTCATAGCGACCTCGAAACTCTCCGATCGCTTTGAGTACGTTCCCGCGAACGCAGTGTGCGGCAGTGCGACTGCGTGTCGTCAGACAGCGTAGGCTCTCTTCTAAAATACTAGGGGTCACGGCCTTACATAACGCGTTCAAACGGAGAAACTCACTTTGAATCCAAACACTGGAAAGCTCAGGATAATCGCGAAGTAATTCTTCTGTCGTTTTAGGGCGCTTAGTAGGCGGATGGTCTAAAGGCCATGTGGGACCACGATTTGCCCCCCATGGATTCTGGTGGCCAAGACACTCCTCACGGTACTTTTCCTTTGCTGGATTGAACATGCTGCTAGTAGTCAGAGAGGTAGCCAAGAAACTTGCGAATGCTGCTCACAATCGACTTCGACCCAAGAATAACCAGACTTCATAAACCGAGGGACATTGGAGCAAGATTCGGATCCAGGGCGTGTTCATTTTGTCTTACGCCAGATGTGCGTTATAAGCGGATTGCAACAATTATACTCAAGTGGCTAACAGCCGCCCCATCCTTGTGCGCATAACACTAAGAACAAAGTGGATCAGGTGGTAACGCAGCCGCGTTTCGTGAGAATACTCACCTCCCCCCATGACGCGATGTGTCTTGAATAACTCTCAGTAGCATTCACAGCCCCGATGCTCCACGCTTGAGGAGCTGAACGTGCGATTCTGTAATGCGTACGCTGTTTTGAGCGATTCTATTTTGTACATCGTCTACTCCCATGCCTTGCAAAGTTTGACGCTTGTTGCGTGAACTCGCTACAACCGTCTTCACCCTCTTGAACTCTCCAAATGTAACTCACGCGTCGCGTTTGCACTCTCACATGTTTCTTGAAAATAGCACTTCCCTCACTAAGTGGGATTCCGTGCCGCCGTCTTTGCATCCACACGCGGTAGACCTGGCCCAGCCTCGATTCCACTCACCCCGCTCTAGTTACCGTGCACCGCTTCGGTGCTCTAACGTAGGACTCCACGCACGTTTTTATAATAACGCCCGGTTGTCGAATTCAACCCCAGATTTTCTACACGTTCCTAGCGTTGCCACCGGTTGCGGCCGTGTTG